TCACCGTTTGTTCACATCTATTTATCTAAATATCTATCTATATTTATATATATATATCATAACCCTTTCATATCTATCACTGTTTGTTCATATCTGTCTATCTATCTATGTCTGTGTTATTATATATATCATAAGCTGAATGTATCAGAGCTTGTTCATATCTATCTCTATTTATTTATTTATTTATCTCTCTCTCTCTCTCTCTCTCTCTCTCTCTATCTATCTATCTATCTATCTGTTTATATATATCCTAAGCTGTTCATATTTATTAAAGTTTGTTCATATCTATCTATCTATCGTGTTCTGAATAAAAAATGGTGGCTCTAATATACGGAGTTGGATTTTTTGAAAATTCTCTAAACGTAGGGTGCAGACTAAATATGGATTTGAAAAACCTGCCGAGAGGGTAATGATGAATTTATTTTCTTTGGACGAAGGAAACAAACAACAAATTAATGGGGTCTAAAACAATAAACGTCCTTCCCGATCAACATTTCTACTACCAATAATCATAAGCATATGTTTAATGTCCTCCATTTGTTTTTCTTTACTTCGTTGAATATCTCTAACTGTTTTTAGCTGTGTACAAGTTGCTTTACAAAAAAAAAACTGCATTCGTGACATATTTGGCTGGCCAGAAGGTCTTGAATCCCTCAACAACTAAATTTTATTGAGAGTCACCAACATTTATTCTTCAACACAAACTTCATCATTCTCGACGGTCTTCCACCAGCAATCAGGCAGCATCCGAATTTGTAGCAGATCCAAAAACGCTGACTTTGAATAAAAAGACTGTAAACGAGATTGCTTCACTTCATCAAAAGTGTTGAATCGCTAGTCGTAGAGGAAGTGTGCCGTTGAGCGGAATAGGCCATAGTCACTTGGAGTAGCATCGGGACTGAATGGTGGATGTGGAAGGATCTCAACATTGGCTATCTGTCTGAACTTCTTCGTCAACTTGGCAGTGTGTAACTACACATTGTCTTGCTGAAACAAAGCCCTTCTTTGACTGACCAAAGCAGGATACTCCTTCTTTTAGTTTGTCGTACACTCGGTCTAGCTGTTGGCAA